GGAGCGGATGGTGCGGATGGAGCGGATGGTGCGGATGGAGCGGATGGAGCGGATGGAGCGGATGGAGCGGATGGAGCGGATGGTGCGGATGGAGCGGATGGAGCGGAAGACGCTGATCCCTCTCGCAATGCAAATCAACAACCTCCACTCAACTGGGCAAGCCCTGCAAGATCCCGGATATGAAAAGAAACAGGAAAGTCCTTTTGGATCCTTTTGCTACGATGAGCATCTACCACGTCAATTCACGGGCCCGACTGGGGGTTGGCCCTAGGTATCCTGTCCAGCCAGCCACCATAATATGAATCAACTGACTGGACTGATATCTCAATCCCCGACAATTGATTTACTTCTTACACACCCGGTGATTCTTTGCTAAAACAATGTCATCCATGTATATATATATAGAAACCAAATGATTAGCGCGAGCCCTTCTTCAAGGAAGCGTGAGCTATCCTGCGTCCAGCTACTAGAAGCTATATAACTACCTTACTTAATTAAGTAGGCGCCTACTACTTAATTAAGTAAGGAGGCAAGGCCACGGGCTTTAAAAGAATGAAATGAAATTGAAATGATCTCTGTCTCTTTCTCCTCTCCCTCTAAATCATCCAAACCCAGCTCCGCGGGCTTGGTCCAAGGCACAATTGTTGACGAAAGGACAGTGATGGTCATAGCGCATGACGCAGTTGTCGCAGTCACTGCAGTGTGAGGCTCGCGGTGGACGAATGATCGAGCATGTATCTAGGCGAGGCGGGTGCAGGCAACTTACTGTGCCAAGGGAGGGCCCCGGCAAATCCTCCAAAGGACTGGAATTGCAAGTAGAACTATGACGCTGACGCAGGTGCCAAAGAATCTGTTCAATGCGCATGGTGCACATCAGTGTGGATGTGAATCCAGAAAGCTCGCTACTCCAACGCTGCCAAATGTCTGCAAAGTCGAAAGCCTTCCTTCCTCAGCTTTTGTGAGATTGTTCCTTCACCTTCCTCACCCAAGACATCGTAGCCCAAGGCCACCCTGAGCTGCTCTGCACTTCCTGCACGGACGGCAAGAAAAAGAAAAGAGAGTCAGGAAAGACTGAGGATTCTTCCAGGAATGAAAACGTCTCATCTTCAAAGGCTGATGAGCCTTTCTGAAATCTCTGGACCCTTCGGTGAGGAGCCGTGCAAAATCAAACCCCTGCCTGTCGCGAGCACCACTTCACGTCGAGGGATGATCCCAGGCTGGGCCGGCAAAGCAGCACACGTCACGCGTGAATATAATAATAGAGAGACAGAGAGGGAGCCTAATAGCGATGGCTTCCAACCCAGAAGCAATGGCCTCCAACCTGGACGCAATGGCCTCCAACCGAATAGCGATGGCCTCCAACCTAGAATCCATGGCCTCCAACCTAGAAGCAATGGCCTCCAACCTCATAGCGATGGCCTCTCCCCCAAAAGGATGTTGTATAACAGATATGTAACATGGAAGGCCTGACAAACAAGAAGAGGTACCGTATACACAAAAGAAATGTGCGCACGCTGCTTAGCAAGTAGATGCAAGTAGTCACTGAAGAGAAATACGACCGTCAGCATGTTTACACTGGGTTGAGTTATTTCGAACGGAAATAAGGTAGTGTAAGCACTTTTGCGAACCTCTTGGTCCTCAGCGGCTTGTAATGCATCTCCCTTTCTCAAACAACATGCTGATTGTTCGGCAACTCTGAGCTTCGCACATCAGTGCAGCACGTGCACAGGAGGAGTCCAGTGGTGGTACAGAAGACTGCCAGTGTGGCACCTCAACGACACCAAAAACATCTCAGATCCTGTGAGGGCACTAAACGTGTCCTACTTACTATTCAGCCGATTTGGCTCAACAACCCGCTCGGCATTCGCTTGATATTTTGGTGTCACAATCTTCCCAACTACCGTCTCATTCATGCGCCCTACGCAACCTTCATCTGCGCGCGAATGTGATTCGACGGGCATTTCTTGTTGTGAGGCTTTGACCTCCATCCCTGCTCCGTACATAGAAGGACATGATTGTTCATTCAGGGAACGAGCCTTCTACAACGCTGTCGGGGTGTATCTTCTTTTCATGCCACTTTTCACTATGCTCGACACCTAAAACCGGTGAACGTGATTTGCTCGATAACTCGTAGTTGCGCGGGCATCTCACTGCACATACTTGAGCAAGCATCACACAAGCATGTAGATATATGGTGTGTATAAATATATATATATAGAGAGAGAGAGAGTGTGTGTTCCCCTGGTGACCCTCCTGCACATGCAAAATAGTTTTGGAACTTCGGTCGAAGTGTCTGGTCCGATAATTGTTCACTATTAATGATTCGAGAGGGTGCCCTCACATCGAGCTTCATCCGCGCGCGCCTGGTAGCAAGAAGATACCATGTGCCACCAGCGATGGTGCCACAAGGCCAAAGTATAGAGCACAAGGCACCAAAATGAAGCACCAAACGCAAATATTTGGGCAAAAACAATCATCGGAGCCTCCTGGCCGAAATACTTTTGTGGTCCCAACATGTCCCAACTGCAATCGTGAAAGCATCCGAGGGGCTCAAATACAGGCTGTTTCAATTTTGCAAAGCAGTTTCAATGCGGATGAATGTTCAACTCCATGGAGTGCAAACAAAAGCACAACATTAGAACACTCAGCTGCGCAAAGGGTCTACATTAGGCCTGTCATCAGCAGCCCCCAACAGCAGAAAATGTTTTTGGATGGCCACCTCAGCGGGAAACATGGTCTCATCGGTCTCTCATCAAACCCAAAAGAACTGAGAGTAGAAATTGAATGTTGGGGGTGTTGATTGTTGACAAAACTCACTTGTTTTAAAATGTGTAAGTAGCTAAGTTGAGCATGTTGTCACAATGCAGGAGGCCCCAAAGTTGCGGCCAAGCATCTGCTCATACAAACGGACCAACTTGCCTCCGGGTCTTTGTGGGGGATGTGTCTTCAGAACATTTTAGAATCAATCCTATTGGACATCATACAGTTGGACATTGATAGAATACTTGGAAAGTGGCCATCGTCTAGCTCAAGAATACTTCTCAAAAAATCAGGAATGGGGCTGTTGACCCGCCTCTCCCCCGATCTCTAACACGGACGCAAGCGTCACCTGAATCGGTCCGGCCTCGATCGATCTGCTCCTCAAGGTCCCCACTCTTGGAGCCAATGCACTCGGGGGTCGGAGCTTCGAGCTTGCGCACCCGTCCAGTGATCCTTGGACAAAAAGTCTCTGTGAAAAGTCACCATGGCTCGTGTTTAGGAACCATACTGCACATCACCCGTCATTCTGGTGAGTGGTCATGCTAACTGCTAACATCTACTCAGGTATGTACTCCATTTACTTCTCATCTGCTTGATCCTGGTGGCCTTACATGACCTTGGACCTTGGAGCCTATTAAGGTCTTGCTCTAGGTCTATGCAAGTGTCCCAAATGCCGCAAGTACTGATGGTACTGAAATCAGAGCCTATTGGTGACAGGGCTCAGGTTCTGAGTCTCCTCCTCATTTCCAGCAGCTGCAGCTCTAGCAGTCAGCTCAACTGCTGGCATGGCGATTCTGCACTTTGGCAGAAGAGGCGGTCAGGTCATTGCTAAGCCCAGGGTAAAAGCCTGTCCATCTGTCCTATTGTGGCTGACAAGGTGCCACCGTGGTCTCTGCAAAGTTCCTTTGTTGCAAGATCTTGCGAGCAGCAAAGGTGGCAGAAGATGTTTGTTGAGAGGGAGTCTATGCCTTGAAGCTGGGAAGAAACAAAGAAAAGAGGGTGTGCGTGCTTGTGCATTTTTAATGCAACACACCAAACTAACAGCAATTCAATTCTTTGGTGCTGCAAGCTTCGTCACTGATGCCGACTTTGAATATAGAGGCATATTATATGGAGGCTAAGGTTGCGACATCCCGCAGTAAGCTTGCTAGTGCACCTGGCAACCCAGCCTGGGAGACTGCACGTGGTGTGTGCCTTTCCTTCCAAGCTCCACAATTGTCACCATGCGTGCGTAGTGCGGTTACATGATTGTATGGCACTAGTACTGGCCTTCTTGTGATCAAGACAATTGACAAACAGGACCTTACAAATGTAATATTCCTCTTTCAAGGTTTCCACAGAAAGAATCACCGTGGCACCTTGCCAGTCCAGCTTTGTGGGAACCTGCATGGTAGGCAAAGCCACTGCAAGATCAAAATCAATATGTCTGCAGAAGTGAGGCAACTCTTCACGCAAGTCAGGTGCATGTCATCAGGAACTTTAAGCAATTTAAGCAGCACCACCACCATTGATTTATATATATAGTGGTCTTAATGCTTAGTTATTTTGATGTTTTTGTTAATTCAATTCGCATTATTGTTTTTGAGTGAATGATGAGTTGTAAAAAGACTGATATACTTATATATATATACTGTAAGATATTTGTCATATAGAATATGTTAGAAATAGTTAGAATAAATAAAATGGCACCACCCTGCAACCTGTCCCCTGCCGAAACCTGGCACTGCAGAAAAGGCCATCACAGCGTTGCAGCAAAGGTTCCAAACCTGGAAGAACCGGGCAACTTGGGGCACTGTAACAAGAAGCTACTAGGAACAAGTGCATCGCTTCTAGTAACAAGTGCCTTACTAGTAGTAACAAGAAGCTACTAGGGGCTCCTGGCATCGCCATTAGGAGCAAGGACGCTACTAGGGGTCTTGCAAGAACGAAATGTCGAGTGTTCCGTTCGTAGCGTCCTTGTTCCTAGTAGTAAGGCCAGGAGCCCCTAGTAGCTTCTTGCTCCTAGTAGCGATGCCAGGAGCCCCTAGTAGCATACTAATGTCTTGCAGTCGTGTGCCTTTTGTTTGAAAAGACAGTCGCGAAAAGACACGTGTGCCTTTTCCCAAGAAGTTGGAGATCCGCTTGGCAAAAAGAGACGTGGGCCTTCACGAGGGCGTTCCGCGTCCAAAGTCACCCAGACCTTCTCAGTGCCTCAAGGAGTTCGAGGGACTGAAGTTCAATGTCAGAAACACCTCATCGGTGGGTAGCTTCTTGCTACTTGTAGTAATGCACGTGTTACTATGCACTTGTTACTATATAGTATATATGATTTAAATGTATAATTATGCTAGCTGCTAGCTGCCCCTGATCCTGCTTTGTTCTAAGTTGTGGTGTTGATATGTTTGACCTGAAGCCTTGGCTACATAGCTATGAAGGACTTGAAGGAAAATCTCTGAAAGCATGAGGACCCCAAAACCTCAAGGAGGCTTGAAACTGCTCTGGTGGCAGTGTGTCCAGTGTGTCCATTCCTCCACTGATCCTGTCCCTCCGATAACCTGATAGCCTCAGATGTGAAAACCTGGTTGAGAACTTTGGTTCCGGACTGGGGAGGCCCTCTATGAGAGCCAGTGCCGCCTCGCAGCGGCACAACAAAATGAGGCAGCTAGGTGATAATTAGGGCCTAGAGCTCCTAGCGGGTTGTAGTTTCATCTTTGAAGCCTAAACAACTTCAGTTTCGCGCTTGTTCCAGTGGGCTTTAACTAACAGTAGATTGCCAATGCCCAAAGCCACCTCCGGATGCCGACCATCCAAGTGAAGGAGTCGAAGACCCCTGCGGTGCAAACACGCTTCGTAAGTTTGATTGCGCTACCACATCTGGCTACTGCCCGCCCTGTCTTGGTCGCTACTGCCAATCTTTTTCCACTTTGGATGCGGTCCTGGTGCCTCTTTTTGGAGGAAGGCCAGAAAATGTCCTCGCACTGCTTGTGTTTGCACTGTACGCGGCAGAACTCTTCAAGACAGCCTCCAGTCACACGAGTGAGTAGAACTAGTTTTTGAGCTGATGGGTTCATGCATTGGCTACCAACATCTGTTCAAAGTCGGCTGAAACAGTGTTTCACACCCCTAAACACCTACAAACGAAGTTGCAACTTCAACAGTCACCGTACAGTACCGTACCAAAGCTTTGCTCCAGCTTGCTTTGTGAGTAACCAAATACCTCAAAACCAGCTGGTTCTCTCACTGCATGTCAAATATCTGCTCAGGTGGGCACATGGTGGCCGCAAGGCACAGTGCACAGAACAGCAATACAAATGGAATTGGCCTTTCCAAGTCTTCACACTTGGGGAGAACAATCAAGCCACGCGCGCGCTAAGGCGTGCAAGTAGATGATGGATCGTGCATGGGCATAGGTGCCCGAGCAAGTCTTGTGCGGGTGTAGGCACTTGTGCTTGGGCCTGTGTGGATATGCATGGGCATCGCATTTGTTTGACAAACGTTTTCTGCATCTGCTCGTATGCTGGCACCCCCCCTCTACGCTTCAAAAGACAACTGCAAATTGAAAGGCCCTTTGGGCCACTTCAAAGCTGTCTTGGTTCAACGTGAAACAGGCAACCCTCTTCCCGAGTTGGGTGAGGCAAGGTGAGAACCAATGAAAATCTATATCTATATTGGTGAATTAGTGGCCGCTACGGGCACTTCGAGCACTGGGCTCAGAATTGCGTCAAATGAGCAGCCTCTCCGTCCTTGGCGGAAGGAGACCGCCAGGCAATGGCAAACATGGGGAAAAAAGTATGACACCCTTAACTGAGTGACTGGACAGTTCCGAACTATGTCTGGTTTCCGTGTTGGCAAGCTTGAAGGCGTGTGGTGGTCAATTGCTGGCCTACAAAAAAGACTCACTCGTGGGCTTGGCCAAGCAACGTCGACTTTTGATGGCTCAAACTCTCCAGGCTCCTTGGTTCAGCCAGCCATTGGCAATTCTGTTCACAATGGCCATTGGCCTTCTTCAGGGGGCAAAGCCAAATGAAATTCCTGAAGGAGACGTACGTGGCATGCTTTGGTCACAGTGCGAGGACAACATTCGAGAGCTACATATGCTTGGGAGTGAGTGATCAATTTAGAATCCGAATCGTCCAGACTACCACTCCGAGAAAAAAGGACCTAAGGCAGCCACAATATGAAGCTTCTGCTGCACAGTCCCCAGCTCTTTCCTGCAGCAGGCGTGCCGAAACGTGACAAAGCCTGGGCTTGGGTGAGTCCCACAGTTCCAAAACAATGCCACGGAAACGGAGTGCAGATCGGCGTGGTCAGACTGTGCGGCTCCAGTTGTTCACTGGCCGGGTTGTTTTTGATGATTTGCCTCATCCATGTGTGGCTCTGTTTGCTCTACCGTCCATGTCGTTCTTTCAACAACGGGTGTGTATTCGTTGTTCTCTGCACCGTCTTGGTAATTTGCCCGAAGTGTTCACAAAAACCTTGGTGCGTTGCACAAGTGTGGAATATGTCCCTCCACTGCTCTAAAAACCTCACCCCCTGGATCTGTGACGACCATGGACCCCACACCTGATGTGGTCCAGGGCCTGGAACAAGCGCATGACTTCGATGCACCTGGTGACGACAAACACCGACGTTGTTTTCGGTCTGCAACTGCCCACGGTCCGCCGAAGTCGGCATCGAACGAGATCAAACAATCCTACAGATGGTGAGCGGTGAAATTGAAGTGTCTTCCTCTGAGTGGAATCGTGGTTAGATCAATTCCTGAGAGTGAATTTGGACCTTCACCTCAAAAATGTGTTTTTAACAGCTTCTGCGCATCAGGTGTGGCCACTATGCTCTTGAAGGGGGGAAGATCACGCTTGACCACCTTGGGAGTTCTTTTGGGGAATAAGGCCATGTTTTCTCGGTAAGCAGTCGAGGTTCATCGCCCACGGCTAGTCAAAACCTTGGAGTCAAGTGGAGCAGTGATGAGCCACGAAGGTGTGGTCTTCTTGTTTAGCTGAGAGACCTGGTTATGCTGCAAGTACGAAAAAATCGAGGCGAAGCCTGTTCCAAGTCCCAACTTTCACCTGGTCACTGAGCATGGTCCAACACGGCGAACACTACAATACCCCATTCAAAAATAGACTATATAATATGCACATAAAATTGCGTGTATATATATATATATATACTGTAGATGCATATAGTTACAGTATATTGCATTATTGTGCATGCTGTGCAAGAAGAACGTGAACGTCGGGATACTCCTTCACAGTGATGCCGGACATCTGTGGTCAGGAATTGACTGTCTGCCAGCATACGTTCCTTCAAAAAGCCCGTCTGGCACCTGGCACCACCTTTTAATCTCAAAGTGCCCAGCAAGAATTCTGGAAGCCCAATGGTCCTTAGATCCAGCGATTTGAGCTATTTCCACGTGGGCATGCAGTCGTTTTATACATGGGTCGATATTTGCGTGCTTGACTCTTTAAAGCCAAGACATCGACCCCGGCTGGCTCAAAAAGGTGATTGAGCAACAAAAGCTTTGAATAGCTTTGACACATGATATGTTGCAAATGTACTGTGCTTGGCGATAGCCCCATTCTATCTGTGCCGAAGCTTGCATGCGAGCAGCCCATCATGAGACGAGTCCAACAAATCAAACATCAGCCCGACCTCATCGCAACGCATGAAACAGGGAGCGCGAACAATGACAATTTACGCGTATACGATGTAGCTCGAAGTCCATGTGCTACTTGAAGTTCCCCACTAAAACACCTGACACGGAAGGAAACAAAGCATTGACCCAGAAGACAAAGCAACGCCTTACGT